CACTCGCCCGCTCGCTTACTCACAAGCTGACGCACTCCCCCACCCACGCTCGCTCGCTCACGAGGCTCTGAAGACAAGGGCCACGGCCGAAATTTCCTAATTTTTGGAGCAACTGAGAATGGCCCTGTTGCGTTCGACCAAGGCAATTATTTGGATGGGCTTATCGTCCTCTTTGGCTTGGCTGATGTGATCATTGCTGTGCTGATCAATGGCGATGCGGAAGGCGGTTTGGACTTGGAGTTTTGGGGATCAGGGTCTGCTGCTGCTGGCTTTTGGTGTTTGTTATCGCCCTAGCATTCTGTTGTTTGCTGCACTATTATTTCGGTTTCACCGGTTGTCATTTGTGGTGGTGGCGGTGGTGGTGGTGGCGGCAGCGGCAGCGGTGGTGTTCCGCAAAATTTGCTGAGTTGCTGCCACCACCAACCAACCAACCCCCCCCCCCCCCCAAATGCAAGTACCGACCCCCCTACAGTCCCCTCCACAGCCGCTCAATGCCAGGCAAGGCTGTTGTTGTCGCTGTTCTTGCCGCCACGGCTAGCAGACGGCAGGTAGCGGTCGTGAATGAACCGGGCCTGAGGCCCAACTGCCAGATCTCTGCTTCAAAAGCCACAGTTGTTTGGAGCTTTGGCCCATGTACGTTCAGAAAAGAGTGCAACAGAGTTTCAAGAACGCAGGGAATGTGAACTACAAGGGCAGAAAAGAGGGCGGCATCACCCATTGACGCTCGTCTTGCTGGGGCATCGCCCGACCAAATGCAGAATTGGAGACTCAGAGCTGCATTTGCGGCTCACTTGGTCCGAATGGGGCGGCTTCCTTCTCTGAATTTGTCCACAGCTCGGGATACCGGTGGTTACGGCACGTCACGCTCAGCCTTCAATCCAGTTGCCGTGGTCTTTGTCGCTGTTACTTTTGTCGCAGCTGTTTTCGTAGGAGCAGAAAGCCATCAGCATTGTCGGACCTTTGGGGTGTCTGAAAATAGGGGCGGGTACCTATTTTGGAAAATTCCCACATGGTTCCTGTGGATAAAGGTACACATATTCACAGCTAGAAATTATGTTGAGAACTCTCGGATACATGAGAGTTAATCTTTACGTTTTGTATTCGCATTCATCTCCGTCTGCGTAGCCCTCGAGTTTTAGCTAATCCCTCTTCCAATCTTGGACACCCAAAACCTGAACCGTGGACAACGTGAAGCCTGAACCCTATACATGCCCCACGTCTCCCCGTGGCCAGAAGCGAACTTCACCGTCCTCCTGGTCCGCCTCCTGCGAGTCGTCAAGGTTGTGAGGGACTCAGGGATGCTGCAAATGCTCCAAGTCCAGGTTTTGGGGCTTGTTTTCGCAAGCTTTATGGGGTTTTCTGGGACAACCTTGGACCCCAGCCTTAACGTGCACCATTGATACGTGTGACTCGTTGTTGGATGTATGTTCCTACCAACTTTTCGGGTGTTGCGGTCAAGGATGGCTTCTTTTGGTAGGTCACAGTATTGCTTTTCATGGTTGGTATCTTTTAAAAAACTCATTGTCTGGGGCTATCTTGATTGTCAACCCCCAGTCAGGTAGAAATCTGAGTTGTGTAAACACAAACACAACATTAAGGTGAAAGGATGTTCAGCTGGGTAATTCCCATAAACCACTGTTTACAGGCCTGATCTACCTTCTGCATTCCGCTCACGTAGACAACTCCTGAACTAAGGTGAAGACTTTGCGTTTGGTTCGTGTGTCGCGGCTGCAACTTTCATCGTTGTTCCTCCGATGTCAAGGTCCTTCCCTTACCGCCAGCTTAAGTTGATGTCTGCTGCCGCATCACATCGATACATCGTATTCTGCAGGATCCAAAAGACCGACCATGTGTTGGGGGAAACCACCAAGTGAAAGTGGGCTGGAGTAGCGTAGATTTGGAAACCGATGTTGTGGTGGTCATGCGCGCGTGTGTGTATGTGTGTGCACGCACATTCGTAGCTGGGGGCGGTGGAGGCAGGGGAGAGGGGACTAGAGGTTGGGTACCAGCTTTACTCTACCCAGACACCGGCGCCCCAAGGCCTCGGCGGATTTGTTTTGGCCTCGTGTCTTTCATTCCCTGCTCATTGTATGTAGGGCCTCTAGAGGTACACTTCACTCAAGCTAGAGTAAGATTGTAGGAGGATAATTCCCTCCAAGCTGAGGCTCGAACAGGGCATCCTTATTCCCTGTTGCTGTCGCTGTCCTCGTCGGGAACTACTCCGCTGTAATGTGAGATTCTCTCCTTCTTGTCGGCAAAATTGCGATTTGGGCCCTTAGACAAGCTTGTGAGACATCAGGTAATGCAGCTGTTTGCCCAGCTGCGCAGCTCCTCGGCTCAGTTGTAGCTGCTCGGGCGTGTTGTTCGGGCTCCCGGGCTGGCAGAAATGATGTGCGGGGAGCCTGTGGTATGCGTAGGGGGGCCGGGGGGGGGTGCGAGGGTGTTTGATTCACAATCAACAGCTTGTGCACGATCAGAAGTATTCAAGGAGCCTTCAAGAGCAAGAGCAAGTTCCTCTTACAAGGGTCTCTCAAAGCGACCCCTGTTCCGACGCTCTGGTCCTCTCTAGTCTTTGCATTGCGCTCAGCTTCTGCGACTTTTATCCTGAGCTTTTCAAAATTTGAAATGCTCTTGTGGCGCATTTGAAATGTTTTTCCGCACTAGTGTCCTGTCACCTCCGAAGTGCATTTCGGGCTTGTCAGATCAGTTTCACACATTTGCTATTGTCGTGCTGAACTCATTTTTCCAGAAACGAATGCCGTTGAATTGTACACACGTGCGCGCGCCCCTTCGACAACCGGGCCCAGCCCAAGCCTCCTGCTGCTGCTCGGCGTGGTGCCATGTGAGGGTTGCGCTCGCAAGGGTGTCCCCAGGGTCCGTTTGCTGGCATGACAGAGGGCGCTACGATAATTCCTGTTGCACCAAATACCATCGTCATCGTGATGAAGACATAGACATCAAGGCAGAAGTCTGAGCCCGGTCCCATTCCCGCGGCATCGGGCTGCCGTTCCAACATATGCAACGACGTGAAGATCATCGCGAATGTACCAAAACAACGAAGTGCAGTCTATCTTCAACAGCCAACCAGGGGCTCCAGCACAGTTCGACAACACGCCAAGTAAAAGAAACCTTTGGGTAGAGCCTGATCTGTCTGTTCGAAACCCCCTTTATTTTGAAGGCGTTGCCCGGCAAGGTTGCAGTGTTTTGGAGGAACCAAAGCGGATTCGGAAACTATCCTCGTTTCAGAAACTGCGGTTCAGGAACTACATGGAAGGTTGAAAAGGTTGCCTGGACGGATTACAACAGCTACAGTGCAGAAACGACTTGCAGAGATTCAGAAACTGCTTGGACAGATTCAGAAAATTGACGCCAAACAGAAACTACGCTCCAGAAACTATTTGCAAGGATTCAGAAGCTACTCCGCGCGATTCAGAAACTGTGTTAACCCGATTCAACAAAATGGACCGCCCGATTCATAAACTATTTGGTCATGATTCACAAATTACTGTACCCGATTAAACAACTTCAGCCCGATTGCGAAACAAACCATTTGGCACCGATTCGAAAAGTACTTGGCAGGATTCAGAAATTATTCCCCTCGAGTTAGAAACATCGTGCGTCGATTCAGAATCTATTTTTGCACGGATTCAGGGACCATCTTGCATTGCCCACTCCAGCGAAGCCTCGCGCCGGCATGCTACCCCCTTTCCTCACATGGCAGGTCCCGAAACCGACAGCCCTTCCTCAATGGACACGGGCTGCAATCCAGGGGTTTTGGGGGTTTTGGGTTTAGGGTTTACCCTTGAGGGTTTCGACCTTAAAGCGTAAGAGGGATTAAGTACAGGGCCAATATAACGCCGCCCAGGTTCCTTCAGGAGGTGGTGAAGTGAACCCTGTCTTCCGGAGACGCTGGCAGTTTTCGAATCCTGGTTTTTGAATCCACGCTGGAGTTTCCGAATCTTTTTCTTCTGTTTCGAAATCCTTTCTTTGAATTTCCGAAAACATGATTCCAGTTTCAGAACCCTGGCTTCCGAATCCATTTCTTCTTAGTTTCCGAAGCCGCGCGTCCGGTTTCCGAATCCGTTGCTTTGGTTCCGAATCCTGGTTTGCGCATGCGTGAGTAGAGTTTGCGAAGACGTGGTTTTTAGTTTCCTATCCACATGAATAGTTTCCGAATCAGGTCTTTCAGCTTCCTGAATCTCGCTTGTGGTTTCCGAATCCTGGTTTCCGAATCCGCGCTCCCAAGTTTCGGAATCCGTGAGATTTGTTTCCGAATTGCTTTTTCTGAAGTTTCCGCATCCCTTCTTTCGTTTCCGACTCCGCGCGCGACCGTTTTGCAGCGTAGATTTGTTCACGTATGTTTCCGTCCCCCCCCCCCCCCCCCCCCCCAGATTTAGCCCGCTTCTTTTGTCTGTTGCAGTCTGCTTCTGCCTGTGGCCAGGCCTGGCACATCGTCGACTCCTTGAGCCCAGGTTTTTTAACTGCAGGCCTTTTGAACGCTGACCTTTCGTTCGGCACTGAGCCACGTACTTGCTGTTATCGCCTCCTTATGTCCGGTCTTCGCTTTGCCCTGCCATCGGCTAAGCCTGACGTCGTTGTTTCAACCCTTTTTTCTTCTTGGCCCAACCGTGTGTGCCTTGTCTTCTCCCGTCACCAGGTCTCGCGGAGCTTGGTCATGTGCTCGGCACGTACCGCTTACTTACAGCCATTTTCCCTGGCCTTGGTGCGTGTGTGGTGTGCGTCTGTTTCTGCCCCCAGCTTGCTTGGCTGTTTTCCTTTTGCAGGTTTACGCGCCCACCGGCCTCTCACATATTTGAGCAGTCAATCGACGTTAGCCACTTTGCTATGCAGGGTTCGATATTTGGATTCAAGACATCTCCTTTTATTTTTTGTCTTAGAATTGGCAGGCCACATTAACAATTCCTACTCTCTGTCCCCCTGAAGTTGTTGTTGCTGCCACGAAGCAGTGTCTGCCCTGGCCCCTTTTGCTTGGCTGAGCTATGCTGAGCTGGTGGCTGATCTTCAAGGACACTAGGTGTGGATAGTGTCCAATGCTGCTCCCATCCGTGAAGACGGTGCGACCGAAGCTGTTGTACATGCTTTGTGCGCCCTTTTTCACTCAAGCAGTGAATGAACTCGTTGCAACAGCGTCACGTTCGACTCGGACCTTCGCACTCAGGAACTCAGGGACATGCCATGCAAAGCTGAACCTTCATTCCGATTCATTCCTGTTCCGTTTTGCATACATCTACTTTAAACCTCCACTGATCCTGTGGACCCCCCGCTCTGCGCTCGGCTTTCCCCCCGAGTTTTTGCTTGGCCCGGCAGCGGCTGGACAAGTCATCACCGCTCCAACCTTGGTCATGCCTCACCACGAGGGCGAAGTGCTGTGCCTTCTCTCCAATCTCGGTCAGACATTCGCTGTCCAGCATGCTTTTGGCACTCATAGTATCCTTCTTGCTGCGCTTCAGTTTCTGCTGCAGTCGGCTGCTCTTTTTTGATGGCCTGCGCTGTGTGCAGACTCATCCTCGTTCGCCCTTTCCCCTGCCTTGTTGACGCGCCACTCAAAAACGAAAGAATAAGCGCTGAGCCGTCCCGGACTAGTTCGGGAAGGGTGACCGCTAAGACTTATGGTTCAACATTTTGCTGCGGTTGACAGCCCGAGAATGCTGCAGCAATGACCAACCACGCTCGTTACGAAAACTGCGGATTGCTCCAAACAGTACTGTTATCCAAAAACCGAAGCTTTAATTCCTCCGTGAGACCACTTGCCATCTTTATGCTCCATGCTAGGCATGGTGGACACCTTTCTCGCGAGCTTGATGGCGCTGTTCTGGTCGATGATCATGCTGTTGGTCTGCATGTCAATCGGCGCCCTAGTCTTGTGCGAATCTTGGCAGTCACTGGGGCAGATTTTGGATGTTTCTTGGCAGACCCCAGAAGGAATGGTACAAAGTCATAAATCCCACGCTGAGTGCGGAGGGTGTTTTGAGATTATGATTGGCCTTTATCTGGCCCAAGAATGACCCAGGAATCGTGCATACCGCTCTTGCAGGAGATGTCTTTGGAAACGGCAGAATGGGTGTTCGCCAATTACGGTACCTTCTTCCGGTCCATGTTCACTATGTTTGAAATCACATTTTCAGGCCAGGAGCGCTTTTTTGTGGCCGAAGCCAGAAAGCAACATGTTTACAGCAAGATTTGGTATTTACTCCTGCACCACACGAGGTAGCAAACGTAAACAGCGGGCCGTAGGCTAGGCAGGTACAACTGCGTGGGACGCCCATTTCTCTGTGGCTCATGCAATGATGACTGCTATGAGCCAAGCCGTTTAGACAAGTTCCCCCCTCCCCCCTCCCATGTTCATGGGCCGGAACATCTGCGTGTCCTACAGCACTTGGGGGGGGGATTGGTTGCGAGTTGTAGACCTTCGGGCGATTCGGGTTGCCAAGAAGATCCCCCTTCTCTGTGATGATGTGTGGCAGTTAGGGGGCCAACATGCTCTTTGCAGAAGTGCCTGATGCCCTGACCAAACTCGAAGGGATGGCAACTATTGTTTGTGGGTGCCAGTAGCGCTGTCTTCTTTGGACTTTGTTTTCTGCCTTTGCCCCTCAGGTGGGTGGCCGAACTCGGTACGCCCTTTGGTGGATGATGCAACTCACTGTCAAAACATGCTTGCATGTCTTCGCATATCTCTGCATATGTTTGCACATGTTTGCACATGTTTGCACATGTTTGAAGAAAGTTGCAGACATCAAAACAAAAAGCAATTCCAGACCTAAGTCCTACACCAGCCGTGGAACATTCTTCAGGTAAGCATCTACTTTGCAATACCCTGTTTGCTGTACGTGGTTTTCATCGTCTTCGCGGCGCTTCGTCTTATCACGGCGCCGCTCGACACGAATAGAGAAACTATGGGGGTAAAGGTGTGTCTCATCACCGTGCTGCTGCATCTAGACACACGGGTTCTTAGTTTCTTGTGCCGCAATTTCAATTGCGGTTAGCAGTTTGCTGGGTTATTCGAGCTTTCCACATTCTCAAACAGGACTCTCCTTGCCATCAAGCCGCAATCGGAGCATGATCATGGAACGGGGTCAACAGACGCCTAAACGCCAAACCCGAACCCCGAAGCCTCAGCCGTGAGAGCTTTAGGCCGCAAGCCTTTTCTGATCCCCAAACTCCTAACGGTCCTAACTCCTAACTCCCTGATCCCCAAAGTCCCCCAAAGTCCCCCAAGGCCCTAAGAACCTGTCGTCGAGGCTCCTGGTCCGGTCGACCATGCAAGCCACTGGAGTCGGCTTGGAGTTTTTGCTGTGCTTTGGGTTCAGGGTCTGTCGGGCTTGCTTGGGGGGTTTAGGGTGTAGGGTTAAGCACTTCTGACTTCTACTGCGGGTGAGAAGGGGCCGACACGAGGCTATGTCCAATGATGCAGCCATGGCCGTCCTCGAGCGGCAGGAGCGGTCGACAGAGCTCCAGGCGGGGTTTGGCTTTGCTGGAGGTGTGGGAGTTAGCACCTGACTGTTTTGGACTTTGGGCTTCTAGCGCCGGTTGGTTTGGATCGGGTTTGACATTAGCCATCCTTGAGTAGATACAGAGAAGCTCATGCTAAACCGGTTGGATGTGTAGGAGGTGTTGAGGGTGTGTTCTTAAGTTGTTTATGAGACTAAGAGTCCGAACAATTTCAAATCGTGTTGGCCGACTTTGATCTTCGCTCGCTTATGTCGTGGAGCTTTTGCAGATGCGCCCGCCCTCTGAAGAGTCCCAAACATCCCGGCATTCGGTTAAGGCCAGGGGTCCTTGTAAGGTAGGTCTTGGGGGAAGCCGGAACAATGATCAGGAATGTCATCTGTTTATAAGCTTTGCGTCCGCGTTGCAAGAAGGTACATCCAAACCCTAACTTGATTGCGCACGGATGATGAGCATCATGTCGCTTGAAGAAGCGCTCGCGTCAGGAAAAGCTGAAGATGATCTTCGAGGATGGTGATCTGGACGGCGACAAGGCCTTAACCCTGGCAGAGTGGGAGAAGCTTTTCCAACATCGAGACCCTTGTCCAATTAGTGTGGTGCGTCAGCCATGTCTAGGACATCTCAAGTTGGAGTGATTTCTCCAAGCGTGTAGACAGTGTAGATGAGGAAATCGTGCAATACCTGAGCGTGCTCGAGCTTGATGTTCACGACGCAAAGATGCTTTTCCATATGCTCCTGGGCCATCATGGTACTTAGCTTTTTTATTGGCTTTGTCTACTGAAGCTGATATTGTCCCAGTCCTCCTAACTGCTCTCCAAGAATGAAGGCTCGATGATGGCGATGGCTTGCTTACAGTGCAGGACAGCAGTGTCAGCGCAAAGTTGCAAAACAGTGGGGGACGCCCCTGTGGGGTCTGTACGCAGATCTGTCCGTACTTTCTGACGTTGGCAGAAACGGGGTATTTGATATTCCTTGAAGAGCGAGCCCTCGCATACAACTCCGGAACCCCCTGGCCCGGAAACACACTCTGAAGGTGCTAGCTAGCAGGGATCCGTTAGTGAGAACATCCGGAAAGTCTCAGCACGGCTTTCCAAGACACAGAGCACCGGTACCCCAGTACTCGCAGAATGGCTGCTGACGATGGTGACATGCTCAAAAAAGAGACCTTGTGAAGGAGTTCTGCGAAGGCGTGCCAAAAGTGAAAGGAACGGCGAAGTCCCTCGATATTGCGGCTTGGCGAAGTGTTTGGAAGGAATGGCGAAGGGCTGCGGTTCCTGTCGGGTGCTAGAAGGCCCTCGGGGTTTTTGCACCTCATGGCCAAAGATACCATGTCGCCGGGTCATGTGTCCCCCGTGCCGTAGAGCGGGCTTTGCCTGGCTTGCCAGGAAGCAGTTCCACCCGTTTGTTCATTGTGTCAATATTGTGTCCCCTGCGTCAAGTACCAAGATGCACTGATGCGCAGCTTGTACAGAGGTCCGCTTGATGCACGAGACCGATGACATCCGAAAAGAGTGCAAAGCCATTCGCAGTGCCATCGAACGCCGGGTGTCACTGTGAGCAAAGACATCTTTGTGACCCTCTTTTGCTGGCTTTTTCCGCTGCATCATCTGGGGCTTTGATATCGTGAGCACAGTTCTTGCTGCTGCACTTGTCCACTGGTGCATTGTCGAACACGGACGACCTGAACATGGGCTTCGTGGTTGCAAAGTATTGTGTGCGCTTCCGTGCACCTCGAATGTATAAACCTGATTGCATCCCCAAGGACTCGACTTGCGATTGATTTATTTGTCCAAGCGAAGAGTGTGTAATGTAAACGCCTGACAACTTGGTAAGACTACCCTTGCCATCCATATACAGAGGTTATTTGGAGAGGGCCATTGTTTCTCTGCTTGTTTTGGCCCCTCCTTCTGCAACCGGGTTGATTTCGGGGTTCAGCCTGTTTTCACTGGAACAGTTTCGGCATTCTCAAGTATTGTGAAAGCCTCAGGGCAGGGCCAGAGCACCTCAGATTGGCAAAGTACCCGTTTCCACGACCCAAGTCCTTTTCGTAGTCCTTTCCCCTCTTTAGCGTCCCCGCTGGGACTTAAGGGGCAGCAATGTCGGGCAAACTGCACAAACTCACAACGGACTGCACTTCCATGGAGGCCAGCTTTCCAGGCTTGCGACATGGAGAGGAAGCCGTTCCACCGTGAAATTATGTCTCACTGTCCCTCAATGTTGAGTAGCAAGCCGGAAAACCCGGAATACTCGACTGCGAGCTAGGTGCGCAGGTTGCACAGAGGTCAGCTTTTTGCATGAGCTTGATGAGAGAGTGCACGGCCATTCGACATGCCTTCCAATCACATATTGTCAGTTGTCAGCACAGATGAGAGAATTTGATGGCTGCAAGCAAACGGGAAAGTGCTTCCACTGCCAGTCCTTCATGACCCATTGTAATGAAAGACCGAAAGATTATCCGAGGTAGGCTGTGAAATTTGTTCGTGAATCGACTCCGGAAACATGTTAGGTCTTGGAGTCAAGCAGATAACGCCCGCAAGGCGGCAACACAGTTTTTATGAGTAACATGCAGCTAGAAGCAGTTGCAACATCACCTAACCTGATCAGCAAAGCGAACGAACGCACGCCGTAGTTTTGCTTGATTCCGGTCCCCGAGACTCGCATCAATGGCAAGCCCCTGAGTTTGCGCTGCGTAGCTAAAGCCTTCAACCCTGTAGACCTCTGAAGCAAAATGCCACTTTGTATCGCCATTTCCCTGACTGGACACCGGGGTGCTTGTAAGGTTGCTGTGCAGAAGATCATGTGGTAGCAGGCTTCTGATTCATGCCCGTAATCGTTGGCCAGCGCCCAAAGCTCGGGCCATTTTTCACAAAAAAGCCGAACGACCCAGGCCTGCGATGCGAACTCCTTACGGCATGTAGCCCTCAAGGATTAATACTAAAGCGGGGAACCTGCCTTTGAACCCCCAACCCTTGCCGAAGCTACACACTAGAATGGCAACTCAACTCCTCAACCCCGCTTCGCAAAGCTAAATCACGGGTTTCCCTCGCGCCAAAGCATCATCACAGGCTTGCTCTTCTGCTCGGATCTTGTCTCGCACCCTCACTCACACCCTTTCTCTCACTGTTCTCTAACATGGTTCCAACAAACCACAACATGATCATCGCTGAAACGCTCACATAAAGACTTTGTCTAAAGCTACGTAGAGTCCAAAGTTCTCACGCAGAGTTGTGCATCTTGGCTTCCACAACCTTTGAGATGTCCTAGCCCGAAGCTCCCACCGAGGCTTCACTCGAGATCACATTCAAAACACATGCCCCATTTTCAAGGCCGCTTTGCTGCGGCGGCTCGGGGTGGCAACGAAGGACGATTCTGCGATGTTTCGGGTTTAAGGGTTCAGGGTTCCAGGGTTGAAGGTTCCGAACTGGGCGCCGGGCTTCCTGGTCTTTTGCTTTAAGGCCGCCAGCAAATTTTCAGGGTTCCTGGCCTGTTGGGCTTGGAATGGTTTAGCTTTGTGTTTTAAGGCTGAAGGTTTTGCGCTTGAGGATGTGCCCGCGTCCGTTTTGTGTCCTCTCGTGTTCTTTTCGTGGGAACTTGTCCGAAACAGCCAACGACTTAAACAGCGCACCGCTTTGCAATCGACTTGCTTCTGGCTGTCTCCATTGGCATTGCAGCCTTGCACCTGAGCGTTGTCCTGTTGAAACGTTTAAGTCTAAGAGTCTAAAAGACAAAGACACGTTGTTCAAACTTCCCACCTACAAGCAGTGATCATGATGCCTTTGGGCCCCGTCATCCAGCTGGGGCTAGGATGGCTCGGAGGGCTAGGATCCTTTCGACCCTGAAGTGCGCACTTCTATGGCCCCTTGATGTCTAGGCTCGAGGACGTTCTGCCACAAGTTTGGCTTCGCTGGTCTCCGCCCAGGCTGGGGACCCATTTTTTGTGGACCAGTGTTGAATCGGAGGATTGCCGGTCTCCTATGATTCTGTGTCCTCTGTATCCTTGCTGAGACGCGAAGTTGAGCCTGGGTGAGCTAGTAGAAGGACCTAGCGGGTAAAGGGCAGCTGACGGATGACGGGGCATGGCACCAAAAAGTAAGCAGAGACTAGAAAGAAAGCGTTCCCACAGCATAGAAATCGCGATGAATGTAACACATCAGGCTTCTCCACTGGGTGTTTCAGGGTCAACTTGGAATCGGGAAGCGGGCCACAGGGTCCTTCAATGCTGCCCCCGGCTGGCCATGGAGAGCAAAAACTTCTTGAGGTTTAGGCCTTTCGTATATGTTGCTCACTTCCTGGGGATCGCTGATCGATGTTGGGAGCGTGGCGGTCCCACATGGCTGGACTGCTGCGCCCCCAGCCTGGGAGATGGCGGAAATCCGAGCTGCTTCTCTTTAGGCGGGGCCAGCTATGAAGAATGCTGCTGGTCCTCGCCGGAGGTGGAGCCCATGTTGACTGACCTGGAGGGCTGCGCAAATGATCCCGGGCTGCGGCAGCAGTACTTCCGCGTGGCTCATGCGGAACTCGGGCTCCGCAAGGACTGCTCCAGCGTGATTGGATGCCAGGCCACTCCCGAACAATGGGTGGCGGTGGAGTTGGACAAGGCATTCCTGGACCCTGCGCCCCAGTGCGAGCTTGAGCCCGCAAGCCCTCGCTTGGAGTGGGATGTCCGCATGGAACTCTGCGCCACCATGCTCAAGCCGCTTCCTGCTGAGGTCTGGTATGATGGTGCTGGTTTTGAGAGAGCCCGGCTCCGGTATCGCTTCGGCAAGGCCCGGCGGAGCCATTGCGCGGTACCAAATTGGCGGCTTCTGCGAGAAGAGCCCCTGCGGCTGTATGCGCTGATCTCAGCCAGGAGCCAGGTTTTGCCTCGGATTCTCATTAATGTGGGTGCTGGAGATGCCCAAGCTGACGATCCTCTAGGCCTGGTCCTCACAGAGTTCGCGAGAGCCGGGAGGCCCTGGACGGGTGTGTATTTCGAGGCCATCCCAGAAAACTGTGCGAAGGCATCATCCAAGCTGGCCGAGACGGGTGCTATCCATTTAGAGTGTGCTTATGCCACGCCTGACACAGTGCCCTGATCACAGAATATCACAGATAGCCCAAGCCCGCCACCTTGAAGACGGGACTGTAGCTCACGTGAGCCTGCCCACAATAACTGATTGTACACTGGTTCAATATCAAGAGCCACAGCCGCAGATTGTGTGCAGCACATAGCTGCCTCCGAGGTCGTGGAAGCCATATGCCAGGAACTTGGGCGACAGGAAGTTCCCGGAATCGACGCCGTCTGCCAAGCAGCGGGTGTCCACATCCAGAGCACCTCTTCAAGCCCAGACTTCGCAGTTCCCGCCGGCGCGCGCGTCGAGGTGGATGCAATGAGTTTGGACATCGATTCCTACGATTGCTCCGTTCTCCGCGAAGCCCTTCGAATCGTGAGCCCCAAGTTCGTCAGTGTGGAGATATCGGCTTTTCCGCCCCCTGTTGTGGTATCGGCAGAGTTCCACCCCATTTTCCAGGCAAAGGAGAAGAAGAACATGTCATCAGAACACGCGATTCGTGGCGGCACAAAGAGGGATGGCTTCAATGGCTGCTCATTCAGTGCTGCCATCTCCATGCTTTGGCCACACGGCCTCGGGCTCTACCGCATGGCTGCTCGAGATGCCCTCTTCGTCCGAGGTTCCTCGCACGCACCTCAGATATCCTCAGGTTCCTTGTGGTTCCTTGTGGTTCCTTCCTTTTTGGACCCATGGTTCACTTGCGAGATTTTTGGAAGACTTCAACAGCTTCAGCAGACTGCGTGACGGTGTTTCCATGTCAGGGCTCTTTCTTTGTCAAATGCTGCAGGTTGTGTAAGTGAAAGTATCCGTATTGATATTCTGTGGCCACCACTAAGAAATGTTTCGCTAATGAAGCTCGCAGACGAAATCCGATTATGATGTGCAGATCTGAGGAGATGTTGCGGAGGAGATTGGCCTGTCGGGTAAGCAGGGCGAACCCTGGCAGCCTGCGGACGAGTTCGACTGCTGGCGAAACGTCTGTGCGGATGTGGCTTTGCAGGAAAACCTTATCAACCTCACCTCCGTAGGGGTCTATGGGCATCTGCTTCCTCGGATCTATGAGATCTTGCAGAGCAAGTATGGCCAGCAAGGCCGTCCGACCACTGTCACAGTCGCCACACCACCTCCTTGGCCTGAGTTGCCGCAAGTACCGCTGGTCCGGTCTAGGGATGCGATTCGAAAGAGCTTTGGCGCTGAGCCGACTTCCTTTTATCAGATTTTTTGCCTTTGCTCTCCGAGCGCCCTTCGTCTACCACCCCAACTTGCACGTCAAACTCTAGGCGCTCCATCTTGAGGTCCCGAGAATCGTCGACCCCAGGGCCCCGTTAAACCCAAATCAAAAGCTAAGCCTCAATCAAACCCTCAAGGCCCCAAGTCGTGACCAACGATGAACACATCGGAAATGCAACTGGGGATCTTTCAGACGCTGGGGCTCACAGCGACCTCTAAGCGTTTCATGGTTTAGGTATTCGCGTTCTGTGCGGTTTCGGGTTGAAGCGATAGAGGGTTGCGGGTTTAGGTGCTTAAGGGCTTAAGGGTTTCTGTTTTGGTGGTCTCCTGTCTCCTGTGTTCAAACCGTCAGGAAGACCTGAAAAGACAGACCTTGTTCTGTTTTGCTGATGCACTGGAAGCAAGTCTTGAAGCCGTGCCTTATCGAACAAAGCCTGCGCAATACGGTTGCACAGGCAATCTTACAAAGCCACCCGCCGCACAAGACTTGTTCAGGTTGTTCTACACTCCAGACCCCCCCCCTCAGTTACCCTCACCCGAGCGTTCATCCTGTCTCAACCACCGAAAAGAGAAATGAAGTGTCCAAAGGCCGCTGCTGGGGCCACTCGCCCGGCCATCCTGGCACCTCAGCAAGGACCGGGCCCCCGGTAGGGTCGAAGGGTCGAGGCATTCGGGGCCCTTTAGGGCCCTTGAGGGCCCTTTAGGGCTTGGGATTAGGGGCCTAGGTTCTGTTCCCCGTCCATTCATCTGCGGGGATGTTGCCCTCTGCTCCTCTTGCAACCTGTGGGATAAGAGGAAATCACTGGAAATCACCTCTTCCTGGAAGCAGCCGAGGACACAATGCCCTTAAATGCTACCCCCCCAAAACAAAGTACACCTGAAACCGCTGCATCACTAAACGCTCCAACCCCCCACCCCAATCCCACACAGGCATCAGCTGGACCTTTGGGGAGTTGGAAAGCAAGGCGAATTCGGCGGGGTTTCGGGCTTTGATGGTTCTAGGGATGTCAAGAGTGCAGGGCTTTAGGTTTGAGGGGTTTGCTGGGCTTTGCTGGGGTTTGCTGGGCGTTGCTGGGGTTGGCTGGGGTTTGCTGGGGTTTGCTGGGCTTTGCTGGGGTTTGCTGGTTTTGTTTTCAGGGCTTTTGGGATTTTCGGGCTTTGGGTCTGGAGTGTAGGCCTGCAAGCATTAACCACCATCCTACTACCCATCATGAACCCGCAGCCAAGTCGACAGTTGAAGAGAGCAACACAAAGCTCCGAGGTGGGGCCGATACAAACCATGGCCCTGGTTGATGTACGACGGTTCCAGACCCTGGACTGGCGCCGAACCCGCGAATTCCCAACCTAAACCCTTTTTAAATCCCCAATCCCCCCGGACTGCCCAGGCGAACAAGAACAACCCGCATTATAAGTTCGTAGTAAGATCAAAAATCCCAAGAAAGAGCCGGCGGAGTACAACATAAAACCGTCACCAACAGAGAAGAAAGAAATGCACCCTGAGAATATACAAAAGTATGTTGTTTTAGTGATTAGTGCGTGATCTTCGTTATGTTCAGCTCCGTTTCATGCGCCACGAAGATACACCAGCAGACTGCAAGTGATTTGCTTGACCGCGTTTTCCTTTCTTCTTTACTCAATGGCTTTTCATTCAGCGAAAGTTACAGAAACGAGCACATACAGTAGTACAACATCGGTTAAAGAACCTGTTATTAGAAGAATACATAAACGCTGCATCGAACGAATTGAGCAACCTGTAGAGCTAGTAACGTTTTCGATCTTCGCTTGCGTTGAAACGCGTTCTTCCATTGAAGCCGAGCGTATCGGTTATGAAAGCTTCAAGCATTAGCATCTTCAGCCATCGCGTCCCAAGCTCTGACCCCCTGAAGCTCACCCAGACCTCCAAATATTCTTGTGGCTACTTTGGGGAGCGTCCTCGGGTAAACCCTGCAGTTGTAACTGCAGGCCGCGAGTGCGGCCAGCGCCCTGGCTTCGCGGGGCGTCGCACGCCGCACAGCTGCGCTGTTTGGGGCCTTTATGGCTTTGAGGGTTTTTGGGACTCCTTCTAATTTGCTTTCGGGTTTGCGTGTTGAGAATTGCTATTCATCTATGTGTTGCATTGTTTCAGTTCGAGTTTGTTGTTGCTTTCTCTGTTTTCTTCTGAGAATGTGTGGTCACTAGAGCCTTTCTGTTCTAAATAAGAAGCATGTACTGCTGATTCAGTTTCAGAACTAAGTCGGATCTGAACGCGGAGCGGAAGAGTCATTGTTTTGCACCCACTTGCCTTGGGTGCATCTAAGCATCGTTAAATCCAAAGCCTACCAAAACCTGAAGCCTTAAGAGTCTGCAGGTAGGCGTACGGTTGCGGTTGAAAGGGTCAGGGTCTAGGTGTTTCTACATTCGTTAATCCACGTTGTGCCAGTTTCTATGCCTTCATTGGACAAGGGGGATCGGGATACATGGTGCACCGCCCTCCCCCACCCCCTGGTCCGGGCCCCCGTGTGCTGGTGGGTGGGTTCGGATTTAGGTGCTAGAGTTTGGGTTTGAGGTTTAGGGGTGTAGAGGTCAGGGGTTTCAGGTTTCAAGGGTTTAGGGTTTTGGGGTTTAGGGTTTTAGGGTTTTGGGCTTCGAGGTTTCAGGGTCCAGGTTTTGCGTGTTTTGCCTGGTTTTTTTGTGGGTTTGCTTCGGGTTGCAGGTGTTAGGGTTTCAGGGTTTTGGGGTTGTAGGGTTTCAGGGTTCCAGGTGTTTAGGGTCTTAGGATATAGGTGTACGGTTTTGGGTTTGCAGGAGGGTTTTGGGTTTAGGGGTGGGGTGGGGGGGGTGGCCATGCAGGGGGTCTGGCATTCGGGCCACGGGCTTGCAGGTGGGAGCACGGTCGTCACAGACCTCCCGAACTCGGCCGACAACCTGCTTCTTCAGGCCCCCCTGAGCGCCTTTGAGGGGGTGGCTCATATTGCATGGTGTGTGTCTGTGTGTAGTCTGCTGGCGTACCGTTTTGTTTCCAGTGATATCGTGCAACATGCTTCCGGGACATGATGTGGGCGCACTTGCAGAAATGAGCATCCTGGAGGAAGTTCTACTTTCACACAACATGTCAACTTTCGTTGCAGGGAGATCACATCATGGTGTACAACAGTGAACAACAGCGTTTGTACTTCATCACAAACATCTCCTTCACGTGGTGCCATCATCCAGATGGTAAACTGAGTCTGCTGACTGCTGCATCAACTACTCGTACGAGAACACTACACCCAACAGTCTAAGTTCTACTTCTATGATGCATGAAGCCTTCTATCTATCGTCGTGGTTGTAAGCGTAGATGGACAAATAATCATCTTGATCAAATTCACAGCATGACAACATAAATGACAACATAAATGACAACATATATGACAGCCTATGACAGCACATGACAACCTGTAGCATGACCAGACACTGTCATACACCTTCGAAGGTGTTTTCAATTACCGGGCACCTTGTCCAGGTGGCGTGCTCCTGGCTGGGGGCGGCAGTGGCGACGGCAAAGGACGGGAGAGCTCTGTTGGATGATGGTCTCCTCGGTCTGCCCTCTTGAGCCCTCTGAGCCACTTCTACATGCAGCTCGTGGTTTTTGCTGAAGCACTCCCAGGATGCCGCGGCTCTCGCAGAGCTGCAGAAGGTCACGGACCTCAGACTCGCCGTGGCCTCACTACGGAGGTGTACTATGGTGCACTGAATGTACGGTTCGGGGTTCCCTGAAGGTTTCCTCATCGCCTCCGCAATTTCAGGGCATCCTCTGTATGCCTCTGTACAGCGGAATTTCACTTCCACACGGTTCATGTCCTCACATCACCTGTGAAGAATTGCGAACGCCGACTTATCGAAGTCTGCAAGAAAGTAAGACTTGCCTGAGTTTCTGGCTTACGATGTTTGCAGGGCCATCGAGAGGTTGAGGAACTGCCATGAACATGCCCCTGAGCCTTGGAAGAGGCAGTCACCCATCCGGGCGGTGAGTCTTCCAACCCTGCGTTGGCAGCCGCCTCGGGGCTTCTGCAGAACATGGTGGGTTGTTCCGTCTGTGGCTCGCGCTCCTAGGGTCTTAGGTTTGTGATGGCGAGCTTCGGGGCCTCGGGTTGATTCCTCTGCGTCGTTTGGGGTAGCCTTCCCCCCCAAGGTGCAGCACAAGCTGCAAGAAGCGCCGCATGTCGTGGAGGCGTGGACGTGGGACGTGGGACTTTCTCGGATCGCGCTCGCGCCCTCAGCCCGAAGCCCTCAAGGTGTGAGTTGAGGTTTAGGGCTTCTGGGGCCTGTTGCATTTAGAGCGGGGTGATGTGGGGCTTATTGAGCAGCACAGGGTGGAAAGATGCAGTACCGAAACCATCTACAATTCCTTACAGCCAGTCGTATGATTGGAGCCTGGCAGGCTGACAAGATCCTGAGGCTTGCGCTTGAAACGGGGCCCCAGGAGTTTCAAGGAAAAGGTCAGGACCTTCGGCGCATGGCTGAGCTTGTAGAGGGTGGCTTTTCGGAGCTTTCTCCCAGGTAAGAACCCTGATAAAATCCCAAGAGGCTCCCGAAAAGACTCTGCGACTCGCCCCCAAAGAAGCGAAAGAGGCCTTGGACGGCTCCCTCTCCTTGCCTGGGGGTTCAGCTGCGGTCGAAGCAGCGCCGGCTGAGGCCTCAACGCCGCCCGGAGCCTGGAGCATGTTCCTGACTGGGTTAGGCCTTAGTGTGGAGACTCTGTGTTGAATCGCGGCGCTTTGTCGGTGAATTTCATGCGGCGAGAGCACCAGGGGAACCTCTCAATTCTTGAGCTGCTCATGGCAGATTCCCTCCCGAGACTGATTTCGGCCCGCGTCCAGTCACGGGACTTCCTTTTCGGTCTTCCTACCATTCAATCATTCACTGTCGAGAGCCGAGCCCAACCGCGGGGCCCTCTTGTTCTGAATCCCGAGTTGCAAGATATTGCAAGCACCAGGTTAGGCTATTGGTCGAGCACCAAAGCCCTCACCAACGGCGAAGCGATCGATGCCCGAGACTTAAAGTTGCTTCGCGAAAGGGCTGAAACCCCACATCTCTTCATGTCCTGAAGCTGACAGAGCCCTAAACAAGGCAAGGGGCGCACATCGCGTTGAGGCTAAAATCCTGAACCATGAAGTCTTGAAACCCTAAATGTTAACCCTTGAAGCTCAGAGGGTCCCGGCTTGGTCCCAAGACTCCGACTGCTTCTGGTTATTTTTCGAAGAGCACGCAGCTCGCATGCACTAAGTTTTTTCGCTCGCAATGGAGCAAAGGCCCGAGACACAAGAGGTTTGAGGGATTTGTTGAGGGCTGTGATTGAGTTCAGGTCTTAGCGATCAGGGGGGGGGGCTTCAGTGGCTCAAAGCTAGGTTTGGGTTTGTGGCAAACAAGATAAACACCGAAGCCGAGGCTCAAATCGCAAAGCGAAGGCCCACAGCCCACAGAAGCCCTAGAGGTTCAGGGCCTGCTCCTAGAGCTCCAATTGCGTCAACCTTTCTTTCATGTTTCAATGTAGAAAATCAGCAGATCAATCGGTAGGCTGGCTCCCATGCTTAGGGGTTGAGGCTCGGGCTCGGGCTCACCCCCCAAGACCCTAACCTCAAGCCTGGTTGTCTCAGGCCATGGGCGCTGCAGCGCAGCGGCGTGGCTGGCCCCAGTCCCGTCGCCATATGAGCGTAAAATGAGTGTGAGATGAGTGCGGTGCAGGGGAGTCGCGAAGAGCCGGGGTCGAAGAGCTGTCCTGTCGGTGCTCCAATAGCAGACCCTGCCCGCGTTCCGAAAACTGAGAAGCCATCCCGCTCAACAGCCTGTCAAAGGCCTCAGCATCACGGACAAGGATCGCGTACTTGTCTCCATCACACTGTGTCTCTCTGGCAAGTTGCTGCTCATGGCTGCGACCTGACATGGGCCGAGCACGGGCTTCCGAGGTTCTTGCGACGAGGTTTTGAAGGTAGTGTCAGTACTTGATACGACCAGATGAGGAGTGCTTCAGTACTTTCGTTGCGACTGCGATCATTCCTCCTGTTGCGTATGCATGCTGTGCACCGCTTAGTCACAGTGGGCTTTTACCATCATTCAATATATACAGACATATTGATAACTTATGCACTTCATACTTCTGCATACTTCTCAGATGGCAGGCCACGCATTTGGAATTGGCTCCGCTGTTGGGAGTGCTTGGCTCGCAGGCCTGATGAATGGGAGGGAGCGAGGCGACCTTAGGATCTAGGTTTCGGTTTAGGGTCGTGAAGCCTCTTGTAGTTTTGGGCCCTGAGCGGTACACACCATCACGCCCCTCTTAAAATCATACCTAAACCCTAAACCCGAAACTGCAGAAGCCCTAAACCCTACACCCTAAACTCCCTAAACTCTCTAAGCTCCCTAAACTCCCTAAACTCCCTAACCCTAAACCCTAAACCCTAACAGCCCCGAATAGCCCATTTCAGCCCATCTCAGCCGATGTGGGGAGGCGCTGCTGTGGTCCTGCCAGGTCTGAGCCCGACGATTCCCACTGCTTAGCGTAGCAGAGCCCGTCGGTGGATTCTGGGGGCCTGTGCTGACGAAATCCTACAGTCTTTGTTCAGTGCTTTCCTGTCATACGGAAGGCTGCGGTTCGAAGCCCTAAACCTCCTTTTGCTGAAGGTGCGAGCGGCATTCGGGGCTGTGGCAGCCCTTCTCAGCGGGCTGAGGCCGGCCCTCACAGCCGAAGGACTGTGCAGATCCTCTGCTTGTGAGAGAGGGTTTTTTTTTGCAAAGGGCTCTGCGGTTCAGGCGACTGGCACGTGCATTGATGTTGTTTGGGATCGGTCGTAGCCTTAGTGAAGAATCTAGCCAAGCTTCATAGCTGGCACTCGGGTCTGCCGCAGCAAGGGTCATGACTTGCTTCTACAGACTTGGAAGAGTGCTCTGTTCCCAAATCTAAACCAGTGGTTCACTCTAGCCCCCGAGCATGTGCACCGACAACCACCGAATCTCCAGGTTCCAGTATGAAAAGCATTCTCCGAGGGCTTAGGGCATCGAAAGGAACCCAACTATTTCGAGAAGTGAGGTTGCTTTGCGCAGGTCTTACCCGCCCCTGAAAGAGAACGCGGCCTTATACAGCTCGGCGCATGTCTAGACAGAGTGACGTAGCAATTTGGTGCAAACCTCATTGAGCAAGCATAGCTGGTGAAAATGACAAGACTTCTTCATACCTGCAATGCCCACAACATCCTAATTGCAACTGCAAGCCCCTTGAGTGCCTTGTGAAGCCCAGAAGCCAGGCCACTCTCACAACGCTCGCCTCGCAACGGTGCAGCTTGCTTTTTGCGGCAGGGGCCAGAGAGAACTGCGGGTTTAGGAGCCTAGAACCTAATGGCAGGTCGTTGTAGTGATTTTGGGGTTCAAGTTTCGGGTTGGGGTCGTGAGGCCTCGTTCCGTTGCCCTGTACCGGAAAGATTGAAACAATTCGAAATATGCAGGAGATTCTTAAGCTCTGCCAGCTGGGACGCAGCACTCCTCCGCATCTTTTGGATAGTGCAGCCACTGGGGCCCTTCCACTTGTGGTACGTCGTGGAGTTTCAGGGGCACATGGCTTTGAGAGTTCAGGCCTCATGGGAAATTCCCGCAAGGATGTGCACACTCTGAAAGCGCTGCCGGACCCTGGCGACAAGGACCTGGGGTTGGCTGCCAGGGCGTGCTGACACATGCTGCAGCTGGAGCTGAACAAGTGTATGAAGGACCTCACCGCGCTGCGCGGCGGCGTTTGCAAGGCCGAGACCTCAACACCTTCCGAAAGTATCGAAAGTGTAGCGTGCCAAGCTGTGAGAGAGCCCACGCGGCTCGAGCTCAAATTGGGTCACTCCTGACGATACACCCCTTGCATGCCAGGGTTGAGGCTTACCATAAACCGAACCCTCAAGGCCCTAAACCGAGTAACTCTTCGATCAGATTCTTGAGCAGACCTGCTGGGACTGAGCAACATAGACCCTGCAATGTGGCAGGCGATGCAGGGCATGCAGCATGCATGACGCAAGATGTCATGGCTCAGGCAGAGAGTGAGAAAACGAGACTTACGAATTCGAGTAGAGGCTGGCTTGGTAGTCTTCGTGTAGGCAGCATGACTCTTCCCTCGGGACCAACGGAACCAGGAACTCTCCGCGTAGGCCTGACTGCGGCAGAAGTCGTAGCCTCAAGGTGTCCGTTCTTTATTGTTCCGGCCTGAAGGCGTGCTCCAACTAAGCTGTTCTTGCTGCTCAGTTACGATCCGATTTTGCCCGAAAAGCGTGACAGCAAGAACCATATTCCTTCAGGATACGCCGGAAAAACCAGGCATGGCTTGGGGCTCCGACTTTTGTGGCAGAGGTCCCTAGTTTTGGTTCCGCTGGTCTCGAGGGAAGGTTCACGCTGCCTCCACTAACATCACCAAGCCGTCGCAACCGCGTATGGCCACAATACTTTTTTTCTGGTTCGATGCCCTCTAAATCTGAGGCGGCAGATCCATGAACGCAGCCAGCAGAGTACACTCCCAAGTCTAGGCAGCGCCCAGCTGCAAAGAGGCAAACGCGGATACCCCGAGCCGAGATCGGTCACCGAACATAATCTTCCAGTGACGCACAACATGGTCGCCTCGTCTCGCGTGCTGTTCATGTATGTTGGACACAGATTGGCCAGAAGGGTGAAGTGCATTTGTGTCAAATGTGATTCCTTCTCTTGATGGCTTGGAGTCGAATATCCACACCAGGTGGGAAGCGGGGCGGACTTCCTTGAAGAGGTCAAGGAGGCAAAGCTTGGGCCCAATGGCGAGCCGCAGCCCGAGGCTTCTCAGGGTATCTCAGGGTATCCCAGATTCTCGCAGGGTATTTCAGGGTATTTCAGGGTGTTCAGTGAAGGCTTCGGGGTTTTGTGTCGCCCAAACCTCAACACAAACTTAATGTTAACCTCATTCTAATATACCTCCCCCCCCCCCCCCTCTTACGCATCCATTGATTCAATCCCCCTCCTTCCCGGACCCTCTATTGAGGGTGGTTGTTTCCCTCCTGGTGTTTTAAACGGGACCCGGCTGAAGCCTTGAGCCCTGGTCCACGGCCATGGTTTAGAGCTAAGGTCTAGGGCTTACAGCTGAAGGCTCGGGCTTCAGGCTTCAGGGCTTAAGGCCTGACTCTTAAGATTTCAGAGCGTTGATCGGCGCCGACCTCTCTAAAACAGAAACCACCTGGTGGCCGGAGTTTTGTAATTGATGGGGGGGGGGGTTGTGGTTGAGTTGTGGGCCACGGGTTTCGTACTTAATGAAGTTCACCTCATCCTGGGCTTAAACACTTGAATTTGAAACTTCAAACGCAAACCCGATGGCCCAGGCTAAAGCCCCTGCAGTATGCAGGGGTTCCGATCATCGCGCTCGGCAAGAAGTGAGCAGTAGGGTTTAAAAAGGGTTTGGGGTTTGTCAGGTTCTTGGGTCTAGGGTTGTTGTCAGGGTGGAGTCCCTTAACCCTTAGAGCAGCAACTCCATACCATGAGAGCCAGGCGTGAGAGAAAAGCGTACATTGGCGTACATTTTGTGTGGCTGGAGAATTTTCTATCACGTTCAACCTTTTTGAGTTTCATGGTCGTCAACTTTGTTGATGTTCGTATAGTAGTGTAGTTGTAGTAGTAGTAGTAGTAGTAGTAGTAGTAGTAGTAGTAGTAGTAGTAGTAGTAGTAGTAGTAGTAGTAGCAGCAGCAGTAGTAGTAGTAGTACTACTACTACTACTGCTGCTACTACGACTACTGCTACTACTGCTACTACTACTACTACTACTACTACTACTACTACTACTACTACTACTACTACTACTACTACTACTACTACTACTACTACTACTACTACTACTACTACTTGTAGTTCAGTACTTGCAAAAGCATGGAAGCCAGGATCCCGTTCAACTTCATGATCAGCGACGTTGTGCCCAGAGCATAAAGCTGTTTATTTCATTCGTCTGTAGTTCACTGTTCACTGTGTGGTTTGATTGTGATCTCAGTTTCGACCTGGGCTGCGAGCAGTACGCAGGGCCGTCCAGAAGGCCATCCCAGAAATCTCAGTCTTCACAGGCTCGATATTCAAGGCTCTAATGCCTTCTGCAATAAGCCCAATCGCCGAGACCCCGATCTGCTGTTTCCACCCATTCTTGCAGCGGCGTCTGCTGTAGAGCGAGCTTGACTGAAAGTCTTCTGCTGTCTTCTTAAAATCAGACATCATGGCAGAAACAGCAAGGATGCTTTGCCGAGCAAGGTTGGGGGGGGGTTCGAACTTGCGTTCAACCCAGGTTCGAACCCCTAAAATCGCTGGGGGGGGGGGGGGGGGGGGCGGTGGACGACAACATCGAGAACCTCGCGTTCAACCCAGGTTGAACCAGGTTCGAACCCGGGTTAAACCCAGCAAGAAACGAGGGGGGCGGAATTTCACCCCCTCAAAGCCAAACCCTCCCTGGCCCTTCCCCTCAAGCTTCCCCCTGCTACATGTTTTCTTGTAAATTCTCGAGGAATGAAACACAGGAAACAAAATCAATAAACGAGGGGGTGGAATTCAGCATTAATTTCCTACCACCACCCCTCCCGCGACTCCGATTTTTGAAGAATGAAGCACCGGGCGCGGGGAGCTGGTGTTTCTTTTTCTTAACCTCGAAATGTTTTTTCTTGATTTGTTTGGAGATCAGCCTCGGGGTCGATAAAAAACTGTTATCTCTTGGCGCACAGCTTTGCACCATGGTCATCATGGCACCATGGGCAGTTCCACCATGTTGGAACCGGAGCGCTGGCTCCAGAAATCCTGGCTGTCCGCTGCATTGGCCCAGAGGAAAGAAACAACACAAGTTTTTCGTTATCTTGGGGTTTGCACAATCGGTTCACAGTCGAGCAACAATATTATCTTGTAGCCAGATTGGAAGTGCTGCCATCAGCAAGCTAAAGATGCTAAACATTTTAGGCGACATCGAATTTTTGTCGGTAGAGCCGACCAATGGCGTTCCCAATGGCGTTCCCAGGCGCGCCCAGCAGGATGTGTAATTTCTTACAGACTGTTGCGGCCCGTTGTGTTGTGCAGCTAGTTTTTTTCGCGTCTGTAGCTACAGCGAAGGTGCGCAGCGACACATTCAGGTCACTTCTTGCTGGTTGCAAATTTCGGTGTTGACCCTGCGAGGCAGGGGTGCCAGCGCACAACACATCGTATCACCAGAGATGCAGGCCGTTGCAAGACAACACCGCGTGTGAGCGTCATTTCTTGCCTCTCCCTTTTCTTGTTTGAAAGTGACTAACTAACTAGCTCTCTCTCTCTCTCTCTCCCTCTCTCTCTCTCTCTCTCTTGTTGTCCGGTCCCGCCCTTCCCCCTTCCCCCCCTCCTTTGTCGCTCTTTGTCCCTCGCCAACTTGCACCTCCCTTCCCGCTCCCCCTTGACCCTCCCTACTCTCGCTCTCGCTCTCTTGCTCTCGCTCTCGCTTGAAGCAGCCTTTGTCACGCCGCGTGTCTTGAAACCAGGTATGCTCTACATCCTGCACAGTTTTGATGCACGTCCAGGCCGTGCTGGAGGTTCGGTGACTTGCTGGCAAAAGCTGATATTCATATTGACTTGTTGCTAGCTTTTGCCGTCCTATTTCATCGTGTATCATCTGAGGCTTGCACAGCCCGCTCGACACGTGGACGCTGGGTGAGTAACAGAACCTGTGACAGTGTCGACGTTGAAGCGCTTGTTTAGGCAAGCATTCAGTTTAGTGGGCTGCTATGAAACGAAAACTCTTCAAGTTCTTAGTCTTGGACAGCTCAGAAGCTGCACACTGCCAGCTGTTGGGCTGCTGCCACGCCGCTTCAGCATCAGAGCAATCACGCATGTGGCCCAGTGGAGGCGCTTCCCCGGCCCTGGAGTGCTGCTGTCCAGACGAGGCCCTAGATTTACGAGGCCACGCAGGGTCAAGTGCCGCGCTAACCAGCTGCTGTTGCGAGACTGGGCAAGCCTGCCCAGGCGTGAGCTGCGCACTGTCTCGTGCATTGGACAACCAGCTGGGTGTACAGGCTGACTTTGACGTCTTCACAGCCGGGGTTGTGCCGGTGCTGTGGCAAACATGCTTGATGTTTGGGGCCCGCAGTGCCTGGTTGCGTCGACGTCCACGTCGCAGCGGCGAGAGATGTCTTGCGCTCCTTCGGCGATTGTCCCAAACGCGGCCAAGTGCCCTGAGCACCTGCTCGGAGACAAGAACGATGGGCGTGTTCTCGAACCTGACAGCTACCGTGCCTCGGGGCACGAAAAGGCACGCTGCGAATGCTTTGTCAAGTTCTAAAGTAGACGCCTCAAGCCACGCTGGCTACCGGATGAGGGTGCGTGGATGGGGGCTGCTGCCAGCTCCCTCTTTTGTGGGCACTGCCCCAAAAGCCCGCATGCGCACTTTGCCGGCTCCCAAAAAAACATTGCTCGTGCAGTCTGTGTGGCGCGCTTTACGAGGCCAAGTGTTGCGCACACGAATTTGCTGTGGCGGGATGGGGCGCGTTGTGCTGTGCCTCCACGACTTGGCGCGTGGTCTCAGCAAGTCTTGCCAGTCTTGCAGCACGCCTGCACAGGCAGGACTGCGCAGCCTACAGGGCAAAGTTGGGGCTCCCAGGGTGCCACGGGTGTGGGGATAGCATTCGGAAATACTGGCTGTCGATATCGACGCGGAACTCTTCCAGTTCGTCGACGGTTGTGCAACGCCCGCCCACATGCAGTGGTCAGAAACACAGCAAAAAGTGTGATTCAAGGCTTGCTTCATGGCTCTTGCATCCCGTCTCGAAGAAGTGGGGGGTGCCAAAGCTGCTTGAAAGTCCGGGTCTCATGCGCACACATGCGACATAGTTCATATCCCTAAGCAAAAGCCTCGTGCTACTTGCTGTGGCAAATCAGAGGTTGCGTCGATGGGTCCCGCGCGCACTACATGCTTCCGCTGGAATGCGGCTGCCGGGACCTAGCCGTGCTTTTGCCACGCGCCCCAAGTTGTCCTTGCGGGACGGGGTGCGTAGTGCTGTGCCACCACCGCTCGTCGTTCGGTGTGGCCAGAGCAAGCGTTATGTGGGGACAGCACCTATGCGCAATCCCATGCCAGGCAAAGCCGGACCGTCTCAGCGTTCAGGTTGCTGAGGCTGTAGTGAAACAGGCCTGGTGCTCGGGGTAACGTTCGGAGCTGCTTGGTATAGCTTAGTTGCGTCACCATGGCTGAATAGTGAGAGGAAAGCTTTGTGAAAGTTTGCAGATTTTCTCAGTCCCTGAGTGATCTGAGTGATCTGAGTGCTGAGCTGAAGTTTGGTGTCTGCGGCAGCTGTGGCAGCTGCGGCAGCTCGCCCCCTCGAGCTTGACAGCCCTTTCCCATGCTGGAAGTGAGCGCACTTTGCAGCTCGCCCCCAAGGCCCCGCTTCACAAGGCCAGAATGGCCAGAGGCCTGCTGCGCAGCACGCCAAGTTGCTGTGGTGGGTTGGGGCGCGTTGCGCTGTGCCGCTGCTTGGCGTACGGTGTTCGCAAGTCTTGCAGCAAAACCTGATGCGCGGGCAGGACCTATGCGCAAAATCATGCGCGGCTCCGCTGCGAGCAATGCCTTGCTGTCTTTGCATTCTGGCTGCTGGAGCTGCTGGGTCTCGAGCAGCATGGGGCGGGGTTCAAAGTCCTGGTGGTGTCATCGTCACGACGCTGGTGTGGTGCTGTTGCCAGATCGAGCACGGCCACCAGCACCGTACCACGCCGTAGCAGACGGTAACAATCCCATACTCCTGAGATGAAGACATCCAATATTGTCAAGGTCACGCACAGGCTTTTTGCCCTCCCTTCCAACGGCCCCTCCTTGCGACGAGTCTCTTCATGTCAAACTTCACAGGAATCCCCCCCGACCACGGCAGAAACCAGCTGGTAGAAGTTTGAGGACTTTTGTCCACTAATCTTGGAGGCTCGGAGCTGTCATTCTTGGAAGATCATCGGCGCGGGGGGCGGCCACAAAGCATGGGGATTGCTTCGTCATAACCCCCAGGCCATCATGTGCGCAGTGCCACATAGACCGACTCTCAATGACTCAATATACGCTCGGCTAGCGACGGTTCCTTGCCCAGAAGCACCCGACATTCAAGTCCTGCAGGGGATCTTTCGACTCTTTGCCCTCGCATGCTTCCGTGTGATCTCGCAAGTCTTTGAACATCTTGAGCGTTCCCGCATAGTATGGCATGGTGGCATAGTGCCTTGTCGCCTCTGAACCCTCTAAAGAGCGGTGTTGACAAGGGCTTCGGGTCGCTTGTGCTCCTTGAACAGGTCCACCAGCAAGCGAGTGTTGCATGACCTGTGCAGATTGGCATAGCTGGCGTACATGGCGACCTGCGCAAGACTCCAGCTTGTAACTGCTCTCACAAACTTAAGAATTGGTTGGGGCTGGCACATTGTGTTGCTCTGGTCATCCTGGCCACCGGCTGGTGCTGTGATGTCGGATGCGCCCGGGCATATTTGCAGCTGTGCACGTCGAAGCTGCACACTCTGTCGCACCTGTCGCGCCTTGCCCATGCTCAGCAGGCTCAGCCGGGCAGCTTGCCAAATTGCTACGGACGGCGAAGTGTGCTACATGCAGCCAGTGCAACTGGTGGCTGTGGCCCCCGCGTGATGGTCCTCTATCCCTTGCAGACTCATGGAGATTGTGGTTCGAAGCGTACGGCACGCTGTCCTTGCGACTTGTTGTCGCACCATGTCCCATTGTTCTGCTTCTTCTTCTGTACAACTTTCAGTTGCCTGCACTAAGAGGGGGGAGGCAGAGGGTGCACGGTGAGACCGAGTTCAAGGACCTGCCAGACCGTTCCTCTGCGTCCTTCTCGTGTGGATTGCATTGTGCATATTGTGCTACACTGCCACTTTGATATCAGTTGTGTCCGGCAGGCTTCCGCTCGGGCAGGCCATCCCCTGCTCACCGAAGAGGCTGCGCGGATCCGCAGTGCACCTGCAAATAGGGAAGTCGCCAGGCCCCAGATTCAGAATATTCAGATGGCAGACCGCCACTGCGCCCGGCCCGTCCTGCCCGTTTGTATGGCACATAAGCGGCAACAGGATGCAGCTTGCCCTCCAGCTTCGTAAGCAGTCCCAGAAAAGCTGTCGCTCTTGCGGCCGTGCTGTGCGCTGTGTGGCAGTTTCCTTTCGGCGTGAGTGCGTGCGGTCCATTCACCTGCCGAGAAGCGTCGTTGGAGCAGCCTCCTATGACTCCTTTACGGACCATTGGCCGAAGCAGCGTGGCAGCTGGTTTGGAGCAGAGGCTCTAACCGACTTTCGCCGACTGTGACCGACTCTGACCGACTCTCTAACACGCTCGCGGTTAAGTTCGAGGTTGCAATGCCCAAGCCCTTTGCTGCAAGGAAGGCTGCTTCAAGGCTTGGCCGCCTTCACTCTGGCCTTGGGATCCTTAATGAGTTCCTTCTTGGAGAGGACCTGGCTCAAATGCATCAAATGTGTTTTCTAGGACGGGTTCCTCGGGTATTCGTGAGAGTGACGGGTTCCCAAGAGTAGACCGGATACCGGGGGCTCTGGACACATCTGGGCGACGCTTCGGCACGGTTGGATTTCATGCCTGCTGCTTTCAGGTCTTTCAGCTGGAGCGATGCTTCGGCTGCTTGAGGTGCCCAGTTCGGTATCCAGCTGAGCAGCTGCAAAAGTCTCGACTCGAAGAGACAACACCCAGAATCTTGACCATGTTGACCCAGCTCCAACTCCGCATTTCAGCCAGAAGGTTCTGTCGAAGTGACTGTGTCAAGCGACTGAGTTGGTTGGCCTTCCGGTATGGCCTTCGCAGGCGATATAGGCCAGGCTATGTTCCACGGGTTTCCACGTGCTCATTCTGGCCGATCCCTCTTCTGCGCCATGAGATGCCGTGGCTAAGGCCCGCACTTGGCAGCACTTTGCAGGCCACTCCGCAGTTCTGCATGGTGACAGGTGACGAGGTGCTGTGACTGGACACACTGTTCAGCGCCTCAGAACCGGGTGAATGTGAGAGCACAGCCCGCGCTTTCTCCGTTCGCATGGTGTTGAGTGCTCGCTTGGCTCGAAGCTTCACCGACTGAGGCCATAAGAGTCGCAGCATTTCTGCCACATGCGCTGGAAACCGAAGTCTGTACGTGAGCAGGCAACCAGACTTGTGGACTGTGCTGCATGCAAGGGGCCACCCAGAAAGTGCAGGACCTGGGAACGCCTGTCAAGCAACACTCCCAAGTTGATGGGGCAATTCAGGGGTATGATTCGATAATGTTGGCCAGCTGCAACATCAGAAGGGGATGTGCCATTCGCACGTTTCGCAGTTACGGCTGCTTGTGGCAATCTTGTCCGTGCTTGTCTGCTGGGTTCCTTATTTAGCACAGGCAAAAGAGCACAAGGGAAAAGAGCAGAAGCTGCTTGTCCAGCAGTTTAGGTTTGTAAGCTGTCGCGTTTGTTCCCCAGATCCTTGTGTTCAGAGAGGCCGTCTTTGTAGCAGCGCGGCCCGCACGGCTTGCTGCGTCGGACATGGGGGTCGTGTTGTTCAGACCGGGAGGTCCTTTTGGTAGGTTGTTGTGCACGATGGCTCCTAGACAATGAATGTTGCGCCGTCCGTGTGATGCTCACACGTCCGAGTCCATCTGCGGGCAGCATGCAGGCGACTTGAGGCCGGGGCAATTGGCAAAGCTTGTGCCTCCGGATATCTTGGCTGCTCTCGTGCCTGGTCGTGCAGTCGAACGACTTCCGGTCACCCTCGGCCACAGGCTGGCTTGCATCGGTGTGGGCTTGATTTGCCTGAAGCCACCGACGCGCAACTTGCTTCGGGAAGCCATTCTCTCGCAGCTAGAGTTCCGCCTGCACAGCCTTTCTGAATTGAAGCTGAGGGCTTACCTTCGTTAAAGCAGTTGTGCCTTTCATGAGGCTTGCAACGTGAGCATGGATTCCACTCCGCCTGCACTTGGGTCCGTCAAGCCATGCCTCTGACTCGCTCAGGCAGTGTGCGTACGCGTACTTGCAGTGGCCCGCCTGGGGCCAGACATATCCTGCTTGCTTTGCGCAGTCCTTCCCGTACAGCCGGAGTCCGTGCAAAGCGGCCTCAGCTTTTCTCAAAGCGCTGAAGCTGAAGGCTGGCGTTCCGATTAGCAGTGGTGCTTTGTGAGCAGAGGTCGTTCACGGCTGAGACGAGCTGAGCCGGAGGCAACTTGCAAAGCTTCGGTTCCCACGCTTTTTTGCAGTTGCCGGGCCTTCGCCCGTGTTGTTGGCTTGCGTCGGTGTTGGCTTGCTTGGGTGCTGTCTGGGGCTAGCCATGCACAGCTGCAGGCCCGTGCGAGGTGGCTCCAACCTTTCTCAAAGCACTGAAGCAGAAGGCTGGCCTTCCTTAAAACAGTCGTGCCCTCCATGAGGCTTGCGCAGTGAGCAGCAGCTGGCCGTTTGCTCGACTTTTGCTAGACAATGCTAGAACCCTTGCCAAGCTGTGGTGCCAAAAGGCATAGATTCGGGCATTCCAGTTCATGTTGCGTGTCCTGGTGCATTGAACGTCATGCCTGGAATGAGGCTACAGCCTGTGCACTGTATGCTTGCCCCAGAACATTGGCTGCAGCTTCAACAGTGGATGTGGCACTCGCACGTTTCGTAGTCACGGCTGCTTCTTGGCAATCTTGTCCATGCGCCGCAGCTGGTCCTGCAAGTCCAGATTAGGATAAGCAACTTGTGCGGATTGTGTCCTGGTTAGCCCGTCCACTGCGCACTGGAGCACTTCAATCTCGTCTTCTGGCTGCAGTCGGGGCGGAGGACAGCCGCGCCGGAGACTGCCAGTACCTGCCAGCACTGATGGTGGTGTTGTAGTTTTACTTCGTTGACTCTCCGTCCTTGCCTGGGCCCTCTGCCTGGGTTCCGGAGATGACGAAGAGCGCAAAAGCTGTTCTGGGACTTTTTTTCCACTGATCCTTGAGTGCAGAGAGGGCGCCTTCGCAGCAGCGCGGCCCTCATGCCGCGCTTACTGCGCCAGAGATGGGGCTGGTGCTGCTCAGACCGGGAGGCCCTTTTGGCGGGCTGTTGTGCATGATGGTTCTTGGCTGATGTGCTGCATCGTCCGTGTGATGCTCACACGTCCGAGTCCATCTGCGGGCAGCATGCAGGCGACTTGAGGCCGGGGCAATTGGCAAAGCTTGTGCCGCCGGATATCTTGGCTGCTCTCGTGCCTGGTTGTGCAGTCGAGCGACTTCCGGTCACCCTCGGCCACAGGCTGGCTTGCATCGGTGTGGGCTTGATTTGCCCGAAGCCACCGACGCGCAACTTGCTTCGGGAAGCCATTCTCTCGCAGCTAGAGTTCCGCCTGCACAGCCTTTCTGAATTGAAGCTGAGGGCTTACCTTCGTTAAAGCAGTTGTGCCTTTCATGAGGCTTGCAACGTGAGCATGGATTCCACTCCGCCTGCACTTGGGTCCGTCAAGCCATGCCTCTGACTCGCTCAGGCAGTGTGCGTACGCGTACTTGCAGTGGCCCGCCTGGGGCCAGACATATCCTGCTTGCTTTGCGCAGTCCTTCCCGTACAGCCGGAGTCCGTGCAAAGCGGCCTCAGCTTTTCTCAAAGCGCTGAAGCTGAAGGCTGGCGTTCCGATTAGCAGTGGTGCTTTGTGAGCAGAGGTCGTTCACGGCTGAGACGAGCTGAGCCGGAGGCAACTTGCAAAGCTTCGGTTCCCACGCTTTTTTGCAGTTGCCGGGCCTTCGCCCGTGTTGTTGGCTTGCGTCGGTGTTGGCTTGCTTGGGTGCTGTCTGGGGCTAGCCATGCACAGCTGCAGGCCCGTGCGAGGTGGCTCCAACCTTTCTCAAAGCACTGAAGCAGAAGGCTGGCCTTCCTTAAAACAGTCGTGCCCTCCATGAGGCTTGCGCAGTGAGCAGCAGCTCGCCGTTTGCTCGACTTTTGCTAGACAATGCTAGAACCCTTGCCAAGCTGTGGTGCCAAAAGGCATAGATGCGGGCATTCCAGTTCATGTTGCGTGTCCTGGCATGGAATGAAGTTGCAGCTTGTGGCGTGTGACACTGTATGCTTGTCCCAGAACGTCGGCTGCAACGTCAACAGGGGATCTGGCACTCGCACGTTTCGCAGTTGTCCATGCGCTGCAGTTTGTCTTCCAATATAGGATAGGCTCAGACGGTGTCCTTGCTAGCTCACGCACCCTTCAGTCTCGTCTTCTGGCTGCAGTCAGATTGCCTTGAGGGCAACAGGCATGGCGGAGCACGGCCATGCCGGCTTCGGGGTGTCTTCCAGCATTGCCTGTAGTGCTGTAGTCGCTGACTCTCCGTCCTTGCATGTTGCATGGGGCCCTCTACTTGGCTGCTGGGGTTTCCTTTGGCACAGGGAAACGACGAAAAGCGCAGAAGCTGCGCTGGATGCAGTTTAAGTTCGCAAGCTGAAAATCTGTTTTGTAGACCCTTGTGGGCCGAGAGGGCGCCTTTGTAGTTCTGCGGCCCTCGATTCCCGCTTACAGCGCCAAAAACGGGGCTTGTGCTGCTCAGACCGGGAAGCCCTTTGGGTAGGTTGTTGTGCATGATGGCTCTTAGATGATGTGCTGCGCCGTCCGCCTGATGCTTACAAGCCCATCTGCAGGCAGCATGCAAGCGATTTGAGGCTACGACGCTTGGCAAGGTTTGGGCCTGTGGACATGTGCCATTGTGCAGTCAAACGACCTCCGCTCACCCTTGGCCACAGGCTGGCTTGCATCGGTTTGGGCTTGTTGTGCCTGAAGCCAACGACGCGCAACTTACTTCGGGAAGCCATTCTCTCGCAGCTGGGGGCAAACCTTCCTTAAAGCAGTTGTGCCTTTCATGAGGCTTGCAACGTGAGCATTCCCATGCTTGGTAAGCCATGCCTCTGACTCGCATAGGCAGTGTGCGAACACCCGTAGTTCCAGTTGCCAGCCATATCCAGCTCCCGTTGGGGACCCTTGCAGCACAGTGGGAGACCTAGCCTTTCTCAAAGCACTGAAGCAGAAGGCTGGCCTTCCTTGAAACAGTCGTGCCTTCCGTGAGGCTTGCACGAATGAGAAGCAGCTGGCCAGTTTCCAGAATGCTAGCTAGAGCCAAGCTGTGGTGCCAAAAGGCATACAGATGCGGGCATTCCAGTTCGTTTTGCGTGTCGTGGTGCTTTGAACGTCATGGTCAGGAATGAAGTTACAGCCTGTGGTACGACACACCGTATGCTTGTCCCAGAACGCTGGCAAGCTGCAACGTTAGCATGCGATGTGGCACTCGCGCGCTTCGCAGTTGCGGCTGCTTCTGGCAATCTTGTCCATGCGCCGCAGCTCTTGTCCTGCAATTCCGGAGTAGGATGAGCAATTGGTGCAGACGGTGTCCTTGCTAGCTCACGCACCACGCCCTGAAGCGCTTCAGATCAGATTGCCTTGAAAGCAACGGGCACGGCGGAGGACGGCCGCGCCGGCTTCGGGCTGCCGCAGAAAGACTGCCAGTATCTGCCAGCATTGACTGTAGTGCTGTAGTTTTTCTTCGTTGACTTCCGTCCTTGCATGTTCCATGGGGCCCTCTGCTTGTCTGCTTGGGTTCCCTTTCGCACAGGGAGACGACGACAAGCGCAGAAGCTGCGCCGTCCAGCAATGTCCAGCAGTTTAGGTTTGTAAGCCGTTGCTTGTGAGATTCTGTTCCCAGGATCATTGCATGCCGAGAGGGCATCTTTGTAGCAGCACAGCGGCGTGGCGCGCCAGAGATGGGCTTGTGCTTCTGGAGGGCGGATGTGCATGATGGCTCTGAGATGATGTGCTGCGCCGTCCGCCTGATGCTCACACGTCCGAGTCCCTTTGCAGGCAGCACGCGATCGACTTGAGGCCGGGGCACTTCTTGGCAAAGCTTGTGCCTCAGGATATCTTGGCTGCTCTCGTGCCTGGCGGTGCAGTCAAACGACCTCCGCCCACCTGGGCCACAGGCTGGCTCGTATCGATGTGGGCTTGTGCAAGTGTTGCCTGAAGCCACCGACGTGCAACTTGCTTCGGGAAGCCGTCCTCTCGCAGCTGGAGTTCCGCCCACTGTAAAGGCAAACTCTGAAGGCGCCGAAGCCTAAGCCGTTCGCAGGCTTTGCTACAAAGTCTTTGGGAGGATGTGGCTCCTGCCTGTTTTGAGACTGCAAAAGGTTCGTTGTTTCCAGGGTAGGTTGAGAACGAGGTGCGGGAGAGGATGCCCGCGCATTTTGTTGGATGCGAATCTGCAGACAGACATGTCCTGGCACAGCCCACGAGGCGATTTCCTTGATGACCATCCTGCAAGTGGGACCGAAACCCGCCTCCAAACCCGCCTCCGACCCCTCTCCCGACTCTGCCCAGCAGCGCTGACGAAAATCACGCTCAAGCCCTTCCAAAGGCACCGAAGGCACCGAACCCCAGGCTGGCCTTCTGTGAAGCCTGAATCGAAAAGCAGCAGCTGGCTCTTTGGGCTCTTTGTTACGTCTGCTAGGTCCCCTGCCAGGCATCTTTTCCAAGGCATAGACGCAGACGGTTGCGGGATGTGCAGCGAGGCCAGAAGACCTCCGTGCCTTCAGCCGGCTAGTGTGGGTGTGGGCTTGCACGAACGCTGCCTGGGGCCAGCCATATCCAGCTTGCTTTGGGAAGCCCTTCCCGTACAGCTGGAGTCCCGTGCGAGGCGGCTCCGACCTTTCTAAACGCGCTGAAGCTGAAGGCTGGCCTTCCTCAAGGCAGTAGTGCCTTGTGAGCAAAGGGCCTTCGCAGCCTGCGCTCAGAAGAAATGAGCGAGAGCTCCAGACTTTGCTGTTCCCTGCCCTTCGCCTGATTCTGGGCCTGACTCCATGAAGCCCTAAACCCCGCGCAATCCTAAACTGCTAACCCCTGAAAGGCCCTAAGCCCCTAAAGGCTGAACCCCCTAAACCTGCGGGCT